CCCTTTGAAGAATTGCCGAGTGTCCAATCTTTGGTATACTAGATCTTAGGTAAGACTGACAGAGAATTCAACGAGGCGTCAGGGGTGGTCAAGTGAAATGAAATGGGAATGTGTGTTTTGCGGCGGTGTGTCCGAGGAAGGGTGGACATCGACTTCTTGAAGAAGTGGACATTTTTTTTTAAATAAATAGGGCTAGCGTGCGATTGGAAAAGGTCGTCATGCAGCTACAAGACTGAGTGCATTTTAACCATGCCTCCCCCTCTTCATAGCCATCCCTGGCTGGACCATACCAAACAGTTAGAAGACAGCACGACAGACTGCCCAGAAGAGCATGGATAAGGCGGCGCTACGAGTAAAGCAGCTTCTGCACGGCGAGGACGTCGATCCGGGGGAGGTTGTGGACTGCGCTATCACGATAGACGGCTCATGGCAAAGCCGCCGCAATTCTAAACACGGGTTCGTTGCGGCGATATCAGTAGATACGGGGGAAGTTTTGGACGTCCACTACATGAGTTCAGCATGTAGAACGAAACGCCGCATACAACAGCCGAAGAAGTAGATTTCGATCTTTCCCATTTTGAGGAATGCACTAAGAACCACCAGGGCTCGGCGCAGTCGATGGAAGCAGAAGGTGCATCGGTGCTCTACAGCAGGTAATAATAATAATAATAATAATAATAATAATAATAATAATATCCATTTAGAGTCATACCGTCTATACAAATAGGTTCATTAGTCATTTAAAATACAAGGATAAAAGCGACCATCTAAGTGTCAATGTAAAAATATTATAAGTACAGTCGTAATATCAATCGTTAATAAAATGTTCTGTAAAGTTTAATTTTTATATTCAGTCATAACATTTTTGTAGGTCTATGGAGCTGTATAGTCTACGTTATGTACAACCCGTCTGTGGGCGACGGAGACAGCTCTGCATTCCGGCGTGTCCAGCAGGAACAATCCTACGGTTCAGAATTTGAGCTGGTCAAGGAGGAGTGTATTGGACAAGTGCAGAAACGGATGGGAAGCAGACTCAGGCGGCTCGTAGAGAGAAATAAAGGTATTTTATATTGAAAAACAGGTTCTGCTGTCAAATGTTTATGTTCTTTATCTGTCACAGTAGCACTGCAATTTAGTACTACACAAAGGCTTTTCTGTAGTACCACTGTATGCACTGTATATACAGAGAAAAAATAAATTTGTTTTGGGGGGAGAGTGCCAAATAATTTTAATTCACAATTCGCATGACAAATTACGATATTTTTATACTTTGCTAATCTACCGTGGTTAAACTTTTACAGTTTGGTTTGTCTAATAGCTTCCTCCCTCACTTGAATGATTTCTTTTCAAAATGTTGTAATTATTACTTTCAGGGGTAAAATTGAGTGACGGGAAGGGTCTGGAGGGTGCAGGGCGTTTAACGCAACAACGCATTGATGCCATGCAAACCTTTTATGGACTGGCCATTAGAAGAAATCAAGGGAATTTGGAGGGCATGGTGAAGGAAACTAAGACCATTTCCAGGCACTACACTGATCCACCTGACCATAGTTTCTGTCCAGATGGTAAGACTCCACAGATTTGACTTATTCGATGCGTACATCTCAAATCCAAACTTCTTTCAATATTTAAATACCACAGTCCCAATAAATCAACAAATAATGATCTAAACAAAAGAATAAAACTAAGGATGAAAGGGAGCTGCTATGGTATTTTTGCACTCCTGGTTAGTTTAATTTAACTTTTTTTAAAATTAAGAAAACATTTGTACCAGTTACATTTAGCAATTGACATAACAAATCTAGATCATTAATATGAACACTCGTCAAATGATAAAATTACTCATCACTTACACAAGATAAAAAATAAAAATTTGCCTATATTTACTTGACTTTTAACTAACTTTTCGGTTCAATCATTACAGGTGCAGACAGCTGGTGCAAGTATAAAGTGGACCGAGCGTGTGGAACAGACACGTATAAAGAGATAGAAAAACCTTTTCCTCCAGCTGTGGCGTAAGTCATTCAGCCTCTGATAAACGAACTGTCGGACGTTAGATTGTTGAATGGATGTCTTCGTGGCTTGACACAAAACCAGAACGAGTCCTTTCATAGCACTGTGTGAGATTTCGTTCCTCGAGACCAGTATCAAACCCCCAGTGCCGTGACACTTGGTTTGTATATGGCCTTGTCCAATGTCAATGACGGTCAAACGGTTACTAATAAAGTAATTTTCAATCGGGCAGGTTTGGACTTTACAAAAATGGCAAGGGAAGAATTTCAGAAGGCCGATGAAGTACGAATTAAAAAGTGCGAAACAGTTACATGTAGTGTGAACAAGGAGAATCGACGACATGCCCGCAGACAAAAGCTGAAACAAATGGACGCGTTTAGAAAATGCGAAGAAGATGCGTACAAATCTGGTAATTTTCACCAACCCGCAAAGGTTCCCAGATGCAAGACATGCCAAAAACCCAGAAAAGGACATCCGAAAAGACCGTGTGTTATGTAAAAAATACATTATTCTAACATCAATTATTATTATTCTGCATTATATTTACATTTCAATTAATGCCGACAATAAACCTTTGATGGATCATTCTTTCTGCTCAATTTCATGTGTTTACCAAATTATGCTCAATTTATTAATCACTTTCTTATTCATTTGTTGATGGTCCGATCGGCGTCCTGTAACACGACCGTGTTTTCGAAACATTTTTCGCTCGGCGAATGTGGACAAGACCGCCTGCGATGCTGCTATTGTGTGCACATCCTAGAGCGCATCCCTAACACTTGCCCCGACGTCAATTGACGCGATTGGTTGAGTAGTTAGAGCTTACTTGATTGCCTGTCATTCATTCTGGCAGTGCTAGCGGTAACCCCTTGAAGTTACTAACAGGAGGTGAGATTGATACAAAAATAAGATTTTCTGACATCCAAAAGCTAATTTCAACCGGCAACAGAGTACCCATCTTCGAGATCGTCAGAACGATAACAGGTAAAGCTGTCAACGATTTAATTTGCTAATTTGGTCAATTAAACTCCCTGAAAGGGTTTTCGCTCGTTTTCTTCGCTTGCAAGATTGACGAGATAGCGTTATTGGAGCGAGCTATAACTGCCTACCTGTACACCTTAGGGAGACCAATTTCACCATGCTAATTAAGAAAAGTATGCACTAAAAGTGCTTTTCTAAGAAAATTTGATTGATCCTCTCCTTTCCAATTTATTGACTTTGAAAATGAAAATTCCTTAATATTTTGATGTAATTTCACGATTTTATAGATAAAAAAAAACAATAAGTCTCTAAAGAAAAATACCTGACTCTCTTTTGTTGTACTTTGTTCAAGTGTTATCATACTATTAAAAGCATGTTTATAGCTGTCCAGGTGCCTGAGAAAAACAGGTGTTTAAAAATGGTGTTTGTGTCCCCAAAATCCCAATATTACGTCACACGATGAAGTTGGAGCTGTGTTCCAAGCATAACTAGATGTTTTGAAGATACATTTAATGAATATGACAGGAATAAAAAAGCTAAGGCCTTTATTTTAAGAGAAAGTCTCTAACCTACATTGCCCCCTGAAGTGTTAAAAAGATCATTTTCAGACTGAAAACTTAGTGTCCCAGGACAATGACTGAATATCTGAAACTCGAGTACCAAGAACAAATATTAATATTTTATAAAATCTACTGACACAGTAAACCTGTTCTATGACAGATGCCCTCAATCACAGTACCGGTACAAAATATTTATATATATCTGTACAGGTTTTTGTTAGGAAAAATTACGTGGAATGTCAACTTACAAAGCACCATCACATTTTCTAGGGAGGCAAATATTTTAATGATACGGCACCAAATTTCTACATAATGCACAAAGTAAAGACACTAAATGGATTATAAATATATTCTAGCCGTGTATGTGATAAGTTATACATATGTTAAGTGTTAAAGTGTGAAAATATATTTTTTGTGTCTAAAAAATATTTCAAATTATGAAATATACGGAACACACTACGTATGGGAAGAATGATTGTCCGTAATAGAGAACGGTGATAATAACACCTGAAATCATTTAAACATCAAATAAATTCTATAATTTGTTTTGGATTTATGGATTTTGTTTCAGTCTAACACAATTTCCACACTTGCCAGACCGAATGTCCAACATTTTTTACCATAATGTCTGTTCATTTGCTAGTGTAAGACATGGTAAACAATGTAATTATCATTTAGGAGGGAGTCGAAATTACCTGCCTCACCTGTTTAGCGCACAACATTAAAAGGTGTTAATTACCGAGGAAAGACCGGAGGTACGGCACACCTTATACCGAACAAGTAACACCTGGTCTCTTATCAGGCACCGTATCAGTCACCCGACAGTATGCGTGCCAGTTTTACCTGTATACACGGTGTGTACAAGTACATTTACAACATCCAGGGAACCTTTGTATTTTATTTTTCAAAAAAAAATATTCAGTTATCCCTCAATCAATGCATATAAAAACGTAAAGAATTGATACTACATGTACACATGATAGTTAATGAAATGATATCGCCACAGCTTGAACAGGGAATTATTTTCTGCTATAATTCCCTGATTTGACCAGTGGTAAATTGATACTATGAGGAAATAATGTGGGGGGGGGGGGGCACAGGTACCCTGTAATTACGGTGCGGGAAAGTAGTGATCTAAGAGAGCATCGATGTAGGGGAGAAAAGGAATACTCCTACAGGGGTTAGTAGAATGTCAACTATCCAGCAAACACAGCACGTTATAATAACGTTAGAATAACGTTTATATAGCAATAAAAATAGAAGTATAAATATTTAGATGCATCTAGAAAGATCTACATAATAGTTGTTGAATACAGTCCGAGCTTTCGGCCCCTGGGCCTTCTTCGGGGAATATGAACAAAAAGTAAAAAAACGTAAAAAAACAAACTCCATGGATACGTGACGTCGGTGATGTGTTGAAGACATGCGGTGGTCTAAAAGCGTGCTATACGTAAACAACGTCAAAATTACGTAACAAAGAAAAAAAAATCAATACTCATTTAAAAAACCATTATCCCTATTGAGTCCATTATTCAAGGTGTTTAGTGTTCTTATAAATTTCTGTTCGGCGATCCGTCTTTGTCTAGTGTCGTTTAAGTTTCCTTTTAGAACGGTGACAGTGATGTCATTAACTGAGTTTGTTAACAATAACAGCCTTGGCGTTACGGGCACATTTCCTTGCAACAACAGAAGGTGCCTTCTCTGCCCGTGCATTATTAACAACCCCAACATCACTCCGGGAGGCAAGACACTCACCCCTAGGGGAAAATACACCTGCGACTCTCAGAACGTCATCTACTTGATAAGATGTAAAAAATGCCATCAAATGTACGTCGGAGAAACAAGCCAGAAATTAAAAGACAGAATTAGGCACCACCGCTGCACTGTTAACAACAAAAACCTTTTCGTACCAGTGGGACAGCACTTCAACACGCCGAACCACTCAGTTAATGACATCACTGTCACCGTTCTAAAAGGAAACTTAAACGACACTAGACAAAGACGGATCGCCGAACAGAAATTTATAAGAACACTAAACACCTTGAATAATGGACTCAATAGGGATAATGGTTTTTTAAATGAGTATTGATTTTTTTTTTCTTTGTTACGTAATTTTGACGTTGTTTACGTATAGCACGCTTTTAACCTTTTTCATCTTTTGCGGAAATACGAAGTGCGCATGACAGGAACCGCGCGCCACAGGGGTCATAGTGGTCCTATGTTGATTCCAGCATGGCAATGCTAGGTGTAGATGATGTACAAGGTGCGCATATAAAAAGGTCGTATGAAGCTTGCATTGCTTTCTGTCAAACTAAAAAGGTGGCTGAAGCACAGAAATGCGTAAACTGTAGGCAAGAAACAGCTATTTGGACGGAGAATCAAGCAATTAAATATTTTCTTTCTCAGTTTAAATACGATGCGCTTTACAACTAGACTTCACCTAAGCGTCCGAGCCTTGGCTGCACTTTCAATAGTGATGACGAACTAAAGCTACGGAGTTCTTTTAAATGCTTCCGATAATAAAGATATGCGAAAGAGACTCGTTATTTTTTTATATATAAAATCAAAATAGCCAGTAGACTCGTACACAGCTTTCAAGAGTGTGGACAGGTGCGCAGGCCTACGTCTTCACAATTTTGTACATGTTGTATGCAAGCTGTGGCGATGTCACCTCATGTACCGGCAGTGTCAATTCATTACGATTTTTATGCCTTGTTTGAAGGATATCTTAAGAGATTTTTAAAGTGATAAAATGAAAAGATTTCCTGCATTGTTTGACTCGTAA